TTTTTTTACAACGCATCTTATCTTTGGCTTTTAATTATATGCACAAAGTTTATTGACTAACAAAGTATTTTAATTAGTAGTAGTAGTAGTGTAAACATGTTATAATTTGAATCTTATCTTATCAGGGAAGACAAACATCCATACAGCTCAGTGAAGAATGTATAAAGTTATTAACATGACGAATTTGGTTTTCTCTCGTTAACCTTCGTGTCGTTAAATTCTTCGTTTATTGTGTATATGTGTTACAAGGACGTTGTCTGTATGTGTGCGTGTTGTCAGTCACTGGAACGTGTTGAACCATCTCCATCCTGACTCCTGAAGGTTGGTGTGTGTGTGTGTGTGTGTGTGTGTGTGTGTGTGTGTGACAAAATCCCTCTTAATAAAATATAATCCACTCTGACTTAATCTTACCTACGATAATCTAACATAACGCCACTTAATTAAATATAACTAAACAATATAATCTAACACAATCTTGCAACCTATTTAACCTAATTTAATCTTTAACATAATCTTATATCTAATGAAACATTTACCTGAGAAAATCTAACATAATCTACTAATATAACCGGACAAAAACTAACCTAACCTAACCCAACCCCCTTCCCAAGTGTTGCTGGGTGTGTAGAAGTCATGTCGTGGGTACAGCTGCTGTTGGTATCCTTGACGCCGCCGACCAGCCATTACCAATGTGGATTTCTCCTCTCACGGCTGACTGGAGTAGGAATTCCCCCTTTCTCAGAGTTTCCGGGATTGTTTTAAGGTTCACTGGACCATCTGGGGGCTGAGTTAAGGGGGTGGCGCTGGCTGATGCTCCGGTACCCAAGTTGAGGGAATGTTTTCACTCTTAAGACATTTCAGTAAGTTTTTTTTACCTTGAGTCTGAAAGGTTTGGGTTGCAACGCGTGTGTGTGTTGAGGACCGATAACAGCGAGCACCATGCGAGTCGGGACGAGACCAATTGGTGATCAGTTACCATAAACCTGACATTGTATTTTTAGCTCACGAGGACAATATTAATGATCGAAGTGTATATATCGTAAAATGACGGATATATATTTTTTGTATCGTTCTGCTCCCGTGTGGAACGTTAATTGGATGCGGTTCACCACTCCCTGTTAAAAGTTCTTAAACAAGCAGGTGGAGAGCGGCGGCCTGACCAACACCCACTGGTTCGTTCACCTCTCTTAGCTTCTTCAGTCAAACACACTCTCAACTTTACCGTTAACTTGCTCGCCTGCTCTACAATGGTAAATTTTCATAAAACAAAGCAACACCTGGCCTACACAAGACTACTGAAAGAATGCCGAACACAAATACGGTCTTAAGTCTAGTTGGTTGATGAGAATTGAGAGGTTAGTTATCCTCTCCAAGCTGTTAATGATCCAATATTGTAACGTTATCATGTCATACTAAGTTGCGACTCAAGATATCGGAATGTTACGGTGACGAGGCTGGGAAATAGAAAGAATAAGGGGATTTTTGTCACGCCGTCATTAATACCGATTTTGCAGCGTTTGTCTTCTGCCAAAATTTAAATTAAACCGGAATAACTGTAATTTGGTTGATCATTTCCCTCGGTGAATAAACTAAGGCTAGTGGTGGTGAGGGACTGAGGGGAGGGGAGGAGAGAGGAGGTTCAGTGGCCGTGGTGTGGTGGTGTGAGTCATGGAGGCAACCCAAAGAACGGTCGTCTGTGTCGGCTACGAGCGGCAGACAAAGACATGTGCCATGGTCCTCCTTCTCTCACTCACCCACTAAACACCTTCCTGTTATTTCCCCCCACATATACCTTCCAACCTTGAAATTTTCTCTTTGGTTTTGGCATATTTCTCACATTACCATTTCTCCCTTTATTATTTACTCCTCTATTCCACTGTGTACTGGGGAAGTGTTGCTTGAAAAATGCCATAAGGTACATCTTGTCGTATTCATCAATGAGTAAACAAATAATCTTTCTTAAACACCAGATGTTGTCATAATCTTCCTGTTATCTCGGCAATCACGTGTTGTGTGCCATGTCACCCACCACCTCCACGTCCGCCCTGCATCCCGTATCTTCCATGCTCATCTCGTTGCTAAGCTGAGAGCAGACGTGCCACTAGTTTTTTCTGATGGCTGTGTCGTGTTCAACAGATGGCGTGCGAGGATACCAGCTGGTTGACTGGATGTCCCAGCTTCCTAGTTTGATAGCGAGTCACTTAAAGACCCACAGAGGAATTACATCGTGGGGATTTACAGCGGATAGGGAGGGTGGGGATCAGGCTCTAGATTCTGAGAGAGTCGTACTATGAATATTGATTTTAACTTAAGATAAATAAGACTGTACCTTACTGTTTAATTTAAGCTAAAGCACAGGAATATAACTCCCCAAATAACATCAAAATTTACATTTGACTCAACATTGACTAGAGACATTCACTGAAGTATATAAGAAGACAACATACAGGAAACACTTTGTAAATAACTAAAACAACAACAAAAGAGGAAATACCAATGGTGGTTTTCAGGACCTAGTTGTGTGTTCCTAACGAGGGTAAGAGAGCACATGTGTTGTTATTTTAGTCTTGGTCCCTTAATATTTCACACAGCTCAAAATCACTAAGATATGAGACCAGTTTTTGTTATTACTTAGTGACAATACGACCGATTAGGATGGGGGAAGTACTCTCAGTTAAGGTGCCGAGTGAGAGGCCGTATACCCTGCCTAGACAGATACAGATGGCGGTGCTGTCATGACATAATTTCTCGTGATTCACTTTCAAGTCAACCTTTTAATGGTGTGTTGGGGGGGGCATTTGTCATTCAGGAACTTGCACAAAGATGTTTATAACTGGAGTTGGACTAAGGTGACTCGGGTACCCCTTCCCTCCTCCTCCTCAAGGGTATTTGGCGAATTACCTGGACCTGAAGGGGATTGTTGTTGTCAGTATCAGGGTGTTACTGAGTAAAAGATTCATTACAGCTGGAAGGTAAAACTAACTTAAAATGGCTACACCTTAAGGCCGACACTAACCTAATACATAGTTTAATTTGTGCTGTATGTCTTCGGCTTATTTGATTTAACGTAACGTGGTGGACCCAATTGTTGTTGACCGATTTTTTTTTTTTTGAGAGAAGAATAGCCTCAGTGGTGAGAGGGAAGGAGGGAGGGAGGGTGCTGGGGGAATAACCTCGCGGCAGTGGGGGTAGTGAGGGGTGGGGGAGGTAGAGTGTGTGACCAGCTGGGGGAGAGGACTGGGGTGTCACAAGCCTATAATACAGGTACAGAGAAGAGAGACGAATGACCAGCATTTTTGTGGAATGGAAGGGAGACGCCTAAAATAAAAAGGAACGAGGGCGAGGAATGAATAGTATAATGGGAGGAGGGAAGATGATAAAGATCAGGGCTGGGAGGAGAGAATGGAGGGAGGGAGGGTAAGCCTTGGCATCGCCTAACGTCTTGCAGTCTACCGCCGTCATGTGGTGTGCGGGTGACAAGCGGCGTCTGGAGAATGCCATCACTAGAGTTTTATCTACATTTTTATTTGTTGATGTAATAAGGTAATTACTAACCTTTTTACGCGCTTAAAGACCATTAGTTGTTGAAGCGCAGGTACTAAAAACAATGGTCTTGATTCTGCAATCCTGTATTGCTTTCAGGTATTTGTATTCTTAATTGGCTTAGCCAGCTTAGTTGACATATATCTACACATGAGTAAACTATTAACTCAATGGTCAATAAATACATATGGGAGAATTGTTGATAAAATATATAGATATATAGACATGTTCCGTAAAATGGCAAAACAAATTTAATATGGTTCAGTATGTACGGGGTGCAGGTATAGTATATAAACAATAAACATTGTCTAAATCAAGGATAACCCGAGAAAGACGTTAGGAGCGGATATTTTGACATTCGAGTATTCATGGCGTCCAGAATTCTTTTTGTTACTGGCCAAACTTCGCGAGGCGCTTGTCTGGGGAGACTCAAACAGGAGTTGCCATGATGATAATTCCTGAACCTAAATTCCGTGGCTTCCGTCCTCATGAGCTATAATTTACCCCAGCGGTACACAGTCCAAGGCGTCCGGTTGGGAACTCGCAAGAATTAGATCAAGTTTATGGATCATCAGGTGTAGTAGAGAAAATTCCGTCCAACAACTTGAGTGTTAGGTTAACTTCTTCACTAATATATTGTAGGAAAAGTTCAGTCAGGTTGGTTGGACAGACAGACAGACTCACCGGAAGCTGGCTACTTCTGGCAACTGAGGCGAAGCACACAGACGTTCCCAGGTTATGCAAGCTTGAGTCTGCATGTTGACTGTTGACAAAAATTGTTTGATTAGTTTTCTTTTCTGCTTAATGAAGATATTCACGAGGCACGCAATTCAGCTCATCAGTAAAACATTGGAAAGCAGATGTGTAAAACGGGAAGGTGTTTATAATGAGGTTAACAGGTGTCGAGAAGCAAAATTTGCTTCACTTCTACACAGGATCTACTAGCACCTCTGTACTTTAACCACGGACACGGACCTATATAACAGGCTGTGGGAATCTGTATCAAAAGGAACTATTTCATAATTAACGATATATAAAAGGAACACGGCAAATTCAAGTGGTATCCTCAATCATGAACAGGTAAACAGTAGCCACAGCGAATGTAATTTTGAGCAGGTGATTACGTCTGCTGGGTGAGGAAAATGGGGGGAAGAATACTGGAGGAAAGGGTGGGTGGGGGGGAGGGGGGGGTATTATGAATAATCATCCTGTACAAGCTTCCCCATCCGTGATATTCATTTTAGATAATTACTTAACGTAAGCTTCGCGTGATAGGGGCGCTCTTTAATGCTACAGGGAGACTTCGCCTCTCCTCCTAGCTTTAAATTTTCGAGGCTGCTATCCAATCTTTTTCATGAATGTCCTATTGCTATACTAAGATCAATATATATCTGCAACAGAAATAGCGTGGGTGCATGTGTAACAAAAGCTAAGAGTATTTTTTTTTTAATTTACAGCGTGAGTGCATCAGTGTACACATTGGTCAGGCTGGCGTTCAGATGGGCAATGCCTGTTGGGAGCTGTACTGCCTCGAGCATGGCATTCAGCCCGATGGTCAGATGCCTTCGGACAAGACTATTGGTGGCGGTGACGACTCCTTCAACACCTTCTTCAGTGAGACATCATCGGGAAAACACGTTCCTAGAGCAGTGTTCGTAGACTTGGAACCTTCTGTTGTGGGTTAGTATTAAAATACCTAATGTATCCTCGTGGGTCAGTGGTTGAATTGTGAGCGTTTATTTTGACAGTATTTAGAAATCTTAACTTAGGTAAAGATACTTTTTTGTTTAGGATTCAATTAACGCAGTAAGACCCTGGTTTACGCCGCCCCTGTTATGTCATTGTGTAAAAACATCGTCATTTATATCACTATTTATGACTTGTACAGGTACCTTAATATTCATGTGACAATACAGTCTGTTCACGATGCAAGTAATAAGCTCAACATCAGAGACACCTTGTACTGTAATCTGCTCCCCTAGTAACCAGTGCCCCGTTTTTTCAGATGAAGTACGCGCAGGAACCTACCGCCAATTGTTCCACCCTGAGCAACTGATAACTGGGAAGGAAGATGCTGCCAACAACTATGCTCGAGGTCATTACACGATTGGAAAGGAAATTGTTGACTTGGTATTGGACAGACTTCGCAAGATTGCCGATATGTGTACAGGACTGCAGGTGAGTCTAAAATCAGTCTATGTATACAAGGATGGAAACCCTAACTCAAGAAAGGCTTAGCATAACATCCCTAGAAGAGGTGCAACACAGAGAGACTACAATGATTCCAGAGTTATGTTATCTTCATCATCTAAGTAGACTGTGGGCCTTAGGACTAGCAACTCATCAGACAAGACACAATAGGGCAGATGTCATAGATGTTTACAAAATTGAAATGGCTGGAAAATGTGAACCTGGGCCTTTTTTTGTGATGTTGCGCACCATCAACACAAGAGGACATAAGTTCAAGTTTGCCAAAGTTATCACGTGTGTTGGTGAGCGTTACTGCTGTACCACCAACACCCCATGACGTCTTGAATTAAAAGCGAGTCTGCATCTTAGGAAATAAGACTTGTAAATGGCTTATGGTCAAACAATTTCCTCTAATCAAGTAATGTTTCCAGGGATTCTTGATCTTCCACTCATTTGGTGGCGGCACTGGCTCAGGCTTCACCTCCCTGCTGATGGAACGACTCTCTGTGGACTACGGCAAGAAGAGCAAGCTTGAATTCTCTGTGTACCCAGCACCACAGGTGAGTCCATCCGTGTTGTATCATTGATAAACTCAGAATACTACTTTTATACTTTATTTTTTAGCTTTGATCACATTTCATCATTTTGGATATACAAGATTTGGTTAGATTCGAATATATTTTGAAGTTGATTGTGTACTTTCGTTTATACAATCATTAGTTAATGGTTAAGCATGTCAGAAAACATCTTGGTTCACGACTGAATCTACCGTACTCTTAAGGCGTCAGTTGTACACAGCCCATAGCTTTGTAGTTTCTCTTTAACATAGAATTTGTAAAAGACCTGACATAATCACCTACTTTCAGGTTGCTACAGCTGTGGTAGAACCCTACAACTCCATCTTGACAACCCACACGACCCTCGAGCATTCAGACTGTGCCTTCATGGTTGACAACGAAGCTATTTATGATATTTGCAGAAGGAACCTGGACATCGAACGACCTTCCTACACAAACCTCAATCGCCTTATTGGTCAGATTGTTTCCTCCATCACTGCCTCCCTCAGGTGTGTTCACTAGGCTAGGTCTAATAGGCTCAGTGATTGACCTCATATGTAGCCCTCATTATCCTTCATGTTTTAAGGAATGAGTAAATATTTCAATGTTTCTGTGTGCTAAAACTGGGTTAAGGATTCTGTACTTTGTCAGGTCTTTGATTTCTGTACAGTTCTTAAATTTCAGTACTAAGCTTTTTGTTAATACTGTATTGGTTATTAATATTGGTAATACTCATATATATAACATTGTACAGTAACCAATGCTGTAGACCATGATCAGGGTGGCAGTAAAATAGTACATGACATTACAACAACAACCACTACAACAACCACTACAACAACAACCACTACAACAACCACTATAACAACCACTACAACAACCACTACAACAACCACCACTACAACAACCACCACTACAACAACAACCACTACAACAACCATAACCTTTCACAACCATGAGCTGACACGGTAGCAGTAACCTAAAGCTTAAGCATATTTTACTTCTACCGGCAGTTCCATTCACTTCAGTAGTGTGTTTTATCTCCTTTTAAATTTATCTTTTACCCACAGTACAAATTTCAGTAGAGTCCACATCCCTTATTCAGTTCTTTGTTGTATGTTTTTCCTAATCACTCAAAGTTACCAACACCAAAATATTTACTTATTATTTTTTTATATGCAAGCATTCTTAACGTAGCTTTGTTCTCCATAATGTATTGTCAGTGATTACCCAAATTCTTTCACTATGACCCTGTAATACTTTCCATTCTCCACATTAAACAAAGGTATGTCTTACTTCTGCATTTGTTCATTCATGATGTAATTGCACAACTCCCTCAGCTCATAGATGCCTGTCCCTAATTTTATATGTGATTCAGACTCACAGTTTGCCTTCATATACCATTTGGACTGTAGTGTCACCACAATTATAGTTAAAGCAATATAGTAATCTACATGACCACTACATTTGAAAATTCATAATGCAGCTCCAGGTATGGACACTTGACCGAGTACAGTAGTGCCCTCTGAGATTTTTTATAAACTTTAATTAGTTTACCCCTTGCCAGTTTGTAGTATAAGCACATAAGCTAGGCAGTTGCAGGCACTCTAATCTCTCTGGGTAACTGAGGTGCCGTAGTGCAGGCACCAGTCTGGTGGCCCTCCTTTGGACATTTTCAATCAACTGACAGTCACTAGCATATCTCGGGGACCAGACTGGGTGACAGTACTCCAAACGGTGAAGCACCTCACTCTTGAATAGCGTTATGAGGGACAGACTGTCTCGATATCTTAATAACCTTCTTATAAAACCCACTAGTTTATGGGCATCTTGACCATAAAAGACCTACCAGTAACTAATATTGAGCTGTTTGATTATTATGATGGGAATATACAGTACTGTAGTAATATGATCGAAAGCTAAGTTTGTCAGTTGTCACCTGATGCTCCTCACCCACTTGACATATTCTATATCTTTACATTGTATGAGAGAATAAACTGTAGCATTCTGGGATTGATTATTATCTTAACAATTTTGTTATTTTGCAGGTTTGATGGTGCACTCAATGTGGACCTGACTGAGTTCCAGACCAACCTTGTGCCTTACCCACGCATTCACTTCCCGCTGGTGACTTACGCCCCTGTCATCTCGGCTGAGAAGGCATACCATGAACAGCTTTCAGTCTCAGAAATCACCAACGCATGTTTTGAACCCGCCAACCAGGTGTGTAACAGGCATCTCGGAATCATGTCGAAGTTGAGAATAACTGAAGTAGTTTGAAGGATATTTATTTAATTTCACATTCAGTACCTTTAACTGAGCTTAATGGCTATGAATTTATTTTTTTTACAGATGGTGAAGTGTGACCCTCGTCATGGAAAATACATGGCATGTTGCCTGTTGTACCGCGGTGATGTTGTACCCAAGGACGTGAATGCCGCTATTGCTACGATCAAGACCAAGCGCACGATCCAGTTTGTTGACTGGTGTCCTACAGGCTTTAAGGTAATGAACGACCCCCAGTGTCTACAGATGATGCTGTATGAGACTGAGTTATATTTTAAGAGTAACATTATTATGGGTGTTATTTATTTGTCAACTGAATGACTGATTATTTAGTTCCAATGTGAGACGGTGAGTTGTTATGGTGGAAATGCATCTGACATCATGCAGAAGTCTCTTAACAAACTTGTTTTTGTTTTACCATTACTGCACAGTATAAGGTTTTGGTAAAATAACAGGATTCTTCTTGTATAAAGTCTTGGATTGTAGATGAATGATCACTGCCCTGGTATGACCTTTCTGTAGTTACCAGGAAATAAAGTTGAAAGACTGTACAGGGGTACTTGCTTCCTATGTATGGTAATGTATGCAGTACTATAAAGGGAATTAGCATTTTCTAAACTGTGTGACTTACAGGATATTAATATAAGGTTTAACCCCCAGGTGGGCATCAACTACCAGCCTCCAACCATTGTACCTGGTGGTGACCTGGCCAAGGTGTCACGAGCTGTGTGCATGTTGTCCAACACCACCGCCATTGCTGAAGCTTGGGCACGTTTAGATCACAAGTTTGATCTCATGTATGCCAAGAGAGCTTTTGTGCATTGGTAAGTAATCTTGGTGAAATGTACGCAGTTAAAAAGCCTCGATAAATACAATTGAGAAGTTCTTAGAAGTTTAAGCAAAAGATGAAACATTTGAGAGTGAATACAGTACAGTACGTACAGTAATTTTAAATTTAGGTACAGTACAGGTATCACAATTACTACAAATGAAGTCAAAAGCTAAAGAAATGTCAACTACAGGTTCTAGGATTTTTTTGTGTTTAGCCATTGTGTGTTACTATACATGTAATAATTTCACTCTTTTGTACAATACTGTACTGTATTTGTTCTAACGTATAAATGGTAAATGAAATATCAGGGTGCACATACAATTGTACTGAAGAGTAAAAATAAGCTGAAGGTATTAGTTGTGGTGTATGAAATATAGATGGTTTAGAAGAATATTTGAGAGAAATATGTATCAACCCTTGTACCCATAAAACTACTCAGAGTAAGGAATAATGTTTGAGTGATGAAAAAGATGAAAAAAGCCATAATGTAATTGATGAAGGAGATATTGTTCTCACCCTCTTTATGCAGTGCAGTAAGAGAGCTGTTATATTTGCTCGTTTTGCCCAATTAGTTTTACCAGAGTTGCTTCCCTTACACTAACAAATAACCCAATCCTGTACAGTATTTCAGATCTTTTCATTATTTTCTAAACTTTAAAATTAATGAATTATTGCCATCATAAATCAACAACAAAACTTCCATCTACAGGTATGTGGGTGAGGGTATGGAGGAGGGTGAGTTCTCAGAGGCTCGTGAAGACTTGGCTGCCCTGGAGAAGGACTACGAGGAAGTTGGTGTGGACTCTGCCGATGGTGACCAAGAGATGAATGGAGATGAATATTGAGTGAATCACACAACCTCCTCTTAATGTTTTAATTAAGTGGAGAATTATCATAGTACAGTATACGCTTCTCTAGCACTTGACACACACACTTTTAAAAACCATCTTTTGTATTTTAATTCTGGGAAGTTTTTAAATTTCACTTGGAAAATTTTGTTTGACTCTTGAGTCTTCCTAATGTATCCCAGTGTTCACTACATAAGCCCTTTTGGCCACATATGTTGTATTTATGTGGTGAATCAATTACTATGTACTGTATTTTCTCTTTGGAACATGAAATATATGGTGGTTTCTCAAATTGTGTTTGACTTTTCCTTCAAGATGAATGTGTTTAAGAACTCAAGATATTCTAATACAACGGAAATAATAGAGAAAAATGTGTCACTGTTATTTTGAAGAGGAGTAAGATGCCTCATCTTGCAGTGTGAGATATTATGGAAAAGTTAGTCTTGTTTGTTCTAATAAAAGTTTAATAGAGTCTTTTGCCAATAGTAAGGATGAGTGAATCGGTCTCTTAAAGTAAAGTACAGGGAAATCTCTCTCTCTCTCTCTCTCTCTCTCTCTCTCTCTCTCTCTCTCAAGTTAAAATTGTCATCAGAGTGGTAGAGGAACAGGAGATGGCAGTCTATGAAAATCCCTTTAACTTTAAACGAAAGTATGTTAAAATGGATATTAGATCAAGAATCATTGTAATAGTGGATGTGTTTGCTATGATGCATGATAACCAAATCTCAGTTTTGGCTTCCCCTAGCCCTCAGGGAGGTTCCACAGGGGCAGTGGATACATTCTCCTTTGATTGGAAGGTGTGGAACCAAATTCATATGTTTCTTGTAGGTGCAGTAAAAAAGAAATTGAAATAGTAATGAGTGGCAGTGAATGATAGTGAGTCTGTGTTGCTCAGGTCCGGTTATCCTGTACCATAGCAGGATTAAAGGTTTCCAAGGGTGAAAAAAGTAATAAGTGAGATATTAACCATTTTACATAAATTTTGACCGGAATTCAGCCACAGGGGACAAGGTTGAAGGTTAGAGATAATTTGTACCTGACAGAAAAAAAAGTGAGTATAATAACATCAGCTAGAGCCATGAAAGAAATACTGAAAATGTGTAGTTTAAGGAAAATTGGGGACTGCTCATATAAATTCAAGGATGAGAAAATACTGATCGAGACATTAATGGACAAATCTGGGGAATGGGGGAGACTGGGATGGATGAATGAATTTAAAAGCTGTGGTCCTCTGAGACGTACAAAATCTGAAAGTGTTTGGACTGGAGAGCCATAGTACCTTGAAAGTCTTAAAATGTGAATACAGTATCTCTCATAGACCTGTTTCTTACATCACCCCATTCCTAGGAACACATATAGTGGTATAAGAAGTATGCCTGTATAGTATATTAGTACAGTAACAGCACAGAAAGTTAGCATTCCAACACCTTGACGGCAGGATAGGCCAAGGAATAGTTTAGGTTAGATTTGGGATAGGCTGGGTAGCTCTGACCACCCAAGGAAACGTTAAAGTAAACATAATAAGCTAAATCAAACATTAAGTGAAGAAATGGTGGAGGTGTAATGTTAAAGGTCGAGTGTAGTGAAACAATGAGGTCAGTTGTTATCATAATAAAACTTATTGTTTCCATCACCATGATCGGTTCATTAAACATCTCGATTTCTTTATTGTAATGTTTACATCATATTTTAAACACAGTTACTGTACTATTTTTGTGTTAATATGAATAGTTCTTAAAACATTAGGGCTGTCCACCTGGGAATTTTGTGGACGAAATTTTGTCTGATTGAAGGGATTTTGTTTAGATTTTGCTCTGGTGGGATTTTACTCAATGGGGATTTACTTAATGGGATTTTGACCATTTTTTTGCCCTCCTCCTCCTCCCTACACACACACTACATCAGGTTATAACACAGACAAGGTCAGAACTCAGCGTGCTTGACATTTAGCTGATTGTTGGTGATGATTGTGTGGTGAGGGAGTCGCTTGTGGGAGGAGGCTGATACGGTGATTGTAACCTTGGGGGGATTTTTTCTCTTCTCTATGCTTGTTATTGTGTGTGTGTGTCATGGCGCTTTCATGGGTCAATTAGGTATAAGTGCGTGAATGGCTGCTTGCTTGCGTACGTACGAGACTAAACGTTGCATCCGGAGAACTGGGTGTGTGTGAGAGCCTGAGAACTTACTTAGAGTGCGTGTTACATTAGGAGCCTGAGTGTGTGCATGTATGACAGTCTACGTGCGTGAGGGCGTGCATGATAGTGTGGGTGCGTTCATGACTGTCGAGGTGCGTGTTGCATGAACGCCGTAACCCTGCCAACGTTGCCCCTCCCTCCCTCACTGCCTGCCTGACGCATCATCACGGGTCCTAAGCGATCAATACCCGCCTCCTATATTTCACCTACGTTTATTTCCCTCTTTAATTCTCTGCTAAATACAGGTTTCTTTTGCCTTTATTACGTAATTCTTTATTTCAGAGTTTGCCCATTTGATGTATTCCCATTTTCTTCGTATATATTTTACACTAATCACTAATTTATTTGTTTCTTTACTATGTACTATTCTGCCTAAATGATTCCAATTATTTTTTATGTATATTCACTGTTAATTTTGTTTGTTTATTTTTATCACTTTTATATTTTTTTATGGGGGGGGAGGAGGGGGTGTCATTATCTTGGTCTCTTCCTTACTTTCTCTTCTTCTCCTCCTCCTCCTCCCTATCTTCTCTCCTCATCACTAGATTATTAAAACAATAACCTCTTTTATCATTTAAATATCTTATACTAGTTCACCATAACTCCCCAGACAAGACCATGAGACAGATGACATTTCTCCCATGATCAATGTTTACAGTGGTTCACAAAACAAATTTCCTGAATCTGCATCCCAATTATTGCAACCAAAACAGCAGGATTGGTTAGGTTAGGTTTGGCTTTAGTTCGCTTTTAGAATTAGTTTAGGTTAGGCTAAGTAAGGTTAGATTAGGTTGGGATAAACGATGTTAGGTTTTGTTAGGTTAGGTTCAGTAATGTTAGGTTAGGTTAGGTTCAGTAATGTTAGGTTAAGTAAGGCTGTATTAGGTTAAGTAAGGTTGTATTTGGTTAAGTAATGTTGTATTAGGTTAAGTAAGGTTTATTAGTTTAAATTAGGTTAGTTAAAGCTAAATTATATTAAAATACATCAGATAAACATAAATTAAGCTCCAAATCCGAGGATAGACGAACCTCTCACCTACCAACGACAAAACAAAAAAACATCGGGAAAGAGGAAACTAAATCATTAAGAGAGGGGGGGGGGAAACACGCACATTAACATGACTACTCAACAGATGGAATGTTATTGGCGGCCTTGATCTTAACCTCCCCACAGTGATCCTCTCAAGGGTGACTGGAACTTTGTACAGGAGCGTCACGTCAAGGTAGTCCGTCCTCTTTAGTCGTCACACCAAGGTAGTCCGTCCTCTTGTTTAGTCGTCACACCAAGGTAGTCCGTCCTCTTTAGTCGTCACACCAAGGTAGTCCGTCCTCTTGTTTAGTCGTCACACCAAGGTAGTCCGTCCTCTTGTTTGGTCGTCACACCAAGGTAGTCCGTCCTCTTGTTTGGTCGTCACACCGCAGCTTGTTGAAGGTTACGGTGTGTGTGTGTGTGTGTACTTCGGTGTACTGGAGAGTGGGGTGCGGTGGAGCCTAGTCATGAATTTGGTGGTAGTCCGTCCTCTTTAGTCACACCAAGGTAGTCCGTCCTCTTGTTTAGTCGTCACATAGTCCGTCCTCTTGTTTAGTCGTCACACCAGGGTAGTAGTCGTCTAGTAGACTGATACGGTGTGTGTGTGTGTGTGTGTGTACTTCGGTGTACTGGAGAGTGGGGTGCGGTGGACTTCATGAATATGGTGGTGTAGCATAGCGTAAATAAATGTACATGATACTAATGTACTTTAGCCTCATACTAATGTACTTTAGCCTGAAACTAATGTACCTTAGACTGAAATTAACATTATTCAGCCTGAAACTAACTCAAACCTATCCCCTAACCAAACCTAACCTAACCTAACCTAACCTAACCTAACCTAACCTAACCTAACCTACCCCTTACCGTTTTTTAACCTTACCTAAGCAGACTGATCTTAAATACCTTAACCTTACTTAACCTGAAGAAATTTTTTTATTTCTCTTTATAACTTAACACCTTTTCAACTCTTATATAACACGGGTTTAGGACTCTACAAAACAGACCATAAAGAAGAGAAGAAATAATATAATAAATGTAATAAACTAAAGAAGGCTAAGATAACAAGTAGAAATATCCACACCTTTGTTTGGCTCATTTGCATATGCGGTATACAGAGTGAATCTTACCAAGGATTAGGTTAGGTTACGTTTACATCGAGTTACTGATGGCTGGAAGATCAACCGCAAAAGCAACAGAGGCAGCAGCAACACCCAGCCGCTTGACTCCACCAGACAGTCAACAACAAACAATTGTCTGAAAGCTTCACAAGGACGAAGTTAGCCAATCAAGAGAACCTGCCATAAATATTAATGTTTGTTTTTTTCTCCTCCAAGACTACACTTTAACTTGGTGTTTTTTTATGTCCACAGTGAAGACGAAATTTAAGTCCACTAGTCTTTGAGAAAATCACTATAAGGGTTGTGGAGTGGTCAGGGCTTAGCAGTGGGTTCGGTACCTCTAGCTTCCCCTTGGCAAAATCTTACGAATGCCACAGTATAACACACAGCTGAGAACAAGATGTGTGCGTAGAGGTGAGTACAAGATGTGTGCGTAGTGGTGAGTACAAGATGTGTACGTAGAGGTGAGTACAAGATGTGTGCCAGGATGTGCGAGCCCTTACAAGCAACACCCTGTCAAGCATATGTTTCCTGCCTGCAGGCATATGCCACTCCCACTTGAACCAATGGCACTTAAGTGATATATTGCTAGCCATTTAAAGCAACACTCAAGCCTTGAAGGATAAAATTATTATTACGGAAATAGTTTGAATATGAACTGCATGTTTCCTGCCTGCAGGCATATGCCACTCCCACTTGAACCAATACTTAAGTGATATATTGCTAGCCATTTAAAGCAACACTCAAGCCTTGAAGGATAAAATTATTATTACGGAAATAGTTTGAATATGAACTGCATGGGGAAGTCCATCTACTCAAACCCAGTACAGTTTGTACTCCATTAAATATGAACAAATAAAATCGGTCGCTTTAACTCGGTGGTTTGATCAAATGAGTGACTGAACAACAACGATGGTACAATGTTGAATTTGACCTTGACACTCGA